AATGTTTCCTAGGCAAGTGATACATCAGTTCCTTTTCCCAAGCCAAGAACAAAAGACAATGCATTTCCCTCTGCTGCTGTATTCAGTGCATACAGGCTCTGCCCCACCCTTCCTAGGAGACACAGGAAGTGGTACTTGCTTCAGAAAAGGAAACTGTTTAATTCTCACAGCAAGAGCAGCCCTTGGCTACAGAATGACCTGGGAGGTCTTTTAAGGGCAATTCTCTCTGATGCTCTTCCTCCAAGCTGAAGACCATGATGCCTTGGCATGGCTCCAAACCTATGCTGGCTTTTGACCAGTGGGAAAGTTCACAGTCTGTTGAATTTTAATAACCTATTTGCCATTCTTCTGGTAGAGCCCATCCAGTATAGCAGCTGTGCCCCAAATTTAGAATTTCTGACTTGGTTTCCTGAGGCTGGTAACCTAAGCAAAGAAACTGGAGCCTAAGTGCAATGTGTAGTCAATGGCAAGCTCCTTCAGTGTTCAACATAGTGTCCTTCAAATGTTTTGGGCCATAATTTTTGACCTTTGCCATGCTGGTTGGGGCTGACTGGAGCTGAAGTCCATAATATCTGGAAGACATCATGTTGGGGAAGGCTGGCCTTGGACACTCCAGAAGCTTGAGAATGCCTGTTATAGATGTCACAGAGCTTTATTTCTTTTGTGCATAAAGATTTGTACAATGCATGGTAGTTCAGTATTCCAGACCCCAGACTTGCACAGGTGCTATTAGAGTGATGAGGGAGGTGATAGGAGGCAAAGCAGTTGGTACAAAACCCTAGCCCTATCTTGAGAATTGGGGAAAATGATGTTGGGGGACTCATGTTTTACCCCATCGCCTCTGGGATGTGCCTCCAGGTTCCATCTTGACAAAACAAAACAAAACAAAACAAAACAAAACAAAACCAAACACACACACACACACACACACACACACACAAGAGACTTCTGCATTTTGAATTTTCACAACAGCCTTGTTCATTAGCCCTCAAAGTTTGGTCTGGCTTATTTACAGAAATCTGCTGGGGGATGACATTTGAAGATGTGAGTTGTAAATTATGTGATAGCTGCTCAGCTCTGCCTCTTGTTTCTTGATGGCATTTTAATGCTTATCCTATGGAGGCAGTGAACCATTGTGCAGAAGAGGTCTGGGAGTAGATAAGGCTGAACAACCTGAGGTGTTAGCCAGACAAAGATAATGTACCAGAGGTGCCTCTCAATGGAAGTGAGCAGATGGTTTTAGATGGGTTGTATCCCCTTGGGAGAACTAAGTGTGCCGTGGGGGGATTTTCCTAGGCTCAGTGGTACTTTGGAGGCTCTCCTAGGCTCAGTGCTACTGGGGGAAGCTCAAGTGGCAACAGTGACTGGAAGAATATGTCATTAGTTTGGCCTTGTTTGTCAACTGCAGTCCTATTTTAAGACACGTCTTGCCTCAGTTGTCCATGCATTACTGTAAAGTCTGCCTTTCAAGATAATTCAGAAACTTCAGCTGCTGCAGAAACACAGTCCTCCAAGAGTTCATGGGGGTGGGGGCAGGTAACTTATGCTGGACTAGTTGCCTGTTCATTCTTGAGCCAAATTGAAAAGGATGGTTTTATACTTGGATGCCATGAACAATTTGGGACCAAGTTATTTGAAGCGTCGCATCAACCGCCAATGCCCTCGTCAGGTACCCACCTGTGGGAGCCTTGGCAGCCTCCTCCCATCTGTACAATGCACATGCCAACAGGGGTCCACTGGGCTCCCTCTCTCCCTCTCTGTACAACTCTGAAAGCCTCATTTGTTTTCTTGAGCATTCTTTTTTATAAGATATATTTTATTGGTCCCCTGTTGCTTTTAGCTGTCTTTAGATGGTTGTTCCTTTTGGGACTGTTTTTGTTACTGGGTCTTAAGTTGATTCTGATGTATATTTTGTCTTTGAATCCACCTTGAGAGTTTTATACCTGTAAAGTGGCCTATAAATTGTGTAAATAAAACAAAAATAAATGAAAAGTAAACACTATGGGTGTCCCTGAGTAGTGGACTAAAGAAAGAATATATACTAACACTGCTCCAGTATTGATAGTGCCTTCACTTGCTTCCCTTTCCTGGTTCCAACACTCCACTGAGATCCTCTTAGCACTGGGTTTCTCTGCACAAAGGTGCTGGCTTCCATTTGTTTTTTCAGAGCACAATTTAATCAACCTTATAAAAGAAACTGATTTGGCTTGGTGATGTTCTGGACAAATACTGGAAGTCAGCTGCAGTACTGGTTCAATATGGCATAAAACCAGGGAGGGTAGGAAGTCAGTGTGCCTTGAATTCAGATAAACTGTTTCTCAGGAGAATCCAACCTAAGTGGTTTTTCATGCACACTTACTTTAGGTTATGGTTGAATAATGCTGGCGAATGATACAAACATTGTAATAAAAAATCTGTTCTGAAGGGGGGGAATGGTAATTTAAATGAAATGGTTGCATATTAGTCATGCAGTTAATTCATTCTTCTTGGCTACCTGCTACCACCTGCTTGTTATTTTTCATGTTGCCTACTAGATTATCTTGGAAAAAGTACAACATGTAATACAAAAAAAGTTTGATAAAATCTAAAGCTAAACCCCCAAAGCAACTACTGTGTTGAATTTGGGGCTTTCACTTGGAGTCATTTCCCACCCTGATGCACTGTGTTCATTTGACATTGTTATTTTTCATCTCCCACCCTCCCCACAAATCTCAGCTGTGGCTCCTTTGAAGACATTGATGCTTCCTGCCAGTATTCAGCCATAGCTTTTCTTTTAGCCTTTGTAAATAACAAGTTATCTTCTAATATTGCCACTGGTCCAAGAATGAGTATTGCCAAGTCCTATATACGAGAGCTATTTTGAGAGGGAAAAGAAGGGAAACTATTTCAGCCATTTTGGACAAACCAGAGAGAGTTATGATAGCATAAAAGGTGAAAAGGACTCCAAGACTCATGATCCAGATGTGACAAAGCCAATCATTTTCTCCCTTGACTTCATCAATTGTAGGCACTAACAAACTATCCATCCCCAACACCTGTAATCACCAGCTAGGCATTTCAAAAATTCTGGTACCTCTGAGGGCAAGGGGTGACACCCAATGTAGGTTAAAGCTTGGTAGACCCCAATAGGAGTGTCCATAATCTGGAAAATGTTGTGTTTGCTCCTACAGTTGGTACTGGAGGATAGCTGGCAGAGCTTTTGCTGGATTCGAGTGCATGTGAAATGAGTTGCACAGGAAACTGCATGTCAGAATAGCCCCGATAATTGCCACTGTTGGGTTATTGTACCATTGTGCCTTCATCTATTGTGTCTTCCTGTCTTAATAGGCAACATGACAGTGCAGCATGTGCTTTTGTCCTGCAAAGTTTGAACCTGATTCACAGATTGGTCTCAGGGCTTTTCTACATGAAGCATAGCACAACTCAATAACCCAGGGATTATATAGCTGAAAAGCTCTATTGTGAGCTTGGATTTCAATTCTTCAATGAAACTCAAAGGAAATACACTGATTAGCAGCCTCATGTAGAAAGGTGTTTGGCTGCTGTGTTGCATCACCTGGTCATTTCCAGGATATAACAGCAGCTGTTTACAAGTAAAGCACCAAGACTGGGGTAATGGAGGCATTGGTGAGATGCAGTAGAGCCATAGGCAAAGGCAAAGTCAAGTAGGAGCAAGAGTCTGATACCAGCTAGGTGTGGCAGAGTCAGAACTGAGGGCTAAGTCAAGGACAGATGAAAGTCAGATCGTCAAGGCATGCAGATCCAGAGCCAAGGCACAGTCCAAAGCAAGAGACAAGGCAGGGCAGAACTAGAAGCAAAGGTAAGGCCAGGAAAATCAGATATTTGGCAAAGGAAGTCAGGAACAGGCAGGGATCTGGACGAAGAGAAAGGCTTTTCTGAACTAGGGGTAGGATCAGAACTGTGAGGCTGAGCACATGTGGCACTGTGCACAGGTGTGTGTATTACAGGCAATTGTGCAAATTTAAAACACCCAGTGACTCATGCAATAATCACACATTTTTCATGCAACTAATGCTGCTTTTATGAAAAGGTACAGTCTATGCCACTGCACCAATATCATTAGTATAGATCAGTGATTCCCAAAGTGCCAACCTTCTGGGGTGATGGAAAGATCCAGGAGCAGGGCGGTGACTGGTTGTTTTAAATTTGCAGTAGAATAAATGTAATACAAAGAAAGAGGTTTGGAACTGCTAAAGTGTGGGGACCACTGGTTAATTAATGTGCTAGATTAATGTACATCTATCAATTTGTAGCAGATGTTCACATGAAACGTGGACACTGGTGTGTACAAATTATTCAGATGATATTCCAGCACAATTCTTTAAACAATTGTTTGTAGCTTGTAGGTTTGTGTTGGGCCCAGCAATAATTGGATCTATTCAGACTTGCTTTAGTAGTCAAATGGATTCATTTCCCAGATGGATGTTCAAATAGATAATCACACTCCAAAAAGTAGGAAACACTCACATATGAACAGGTGTTTAGAGTAAGAGCAGGTTAAGAAATCCCTCTTCAGTGCCATTTGTTGATCCAGGGTTGGTGTGTCTGGGCTGGTGTTAAGAGCCACTAGCCAAGGTCTACACTCCAGTAGGAGTCCACTGACAGCAGTCCCTTGGTTGGGCCTCTCATCTTCACTGTTGCAATTGGCTTGTTTGCCTGACACTTACTGTGGTCCAGGCAACACTGGTGGTGAGAAAGAAGATATTCCTGCTGACTCACTCACTGGCTCTCTGCTTGTCAAGCAAGCAAGGGGAAACCATGGTAAGGAAGAGGATGAGGAGCCATAGCAGCTGCTGCCAATGATGGGAAGAAGGTGACCTTACTGAGGGAGCGGTCCATTGAGTGTGTCCCATTCAAGGTCCCTTCAAATCCTGGGTCAGAAAATGGCTTGGTTGACCCTTACAATAACACACAGTCTGTTTTGTGTTCAATGTTTTTATTCTTCTTCTTCTTCTTCTTCTTATTTCCCTCTCCATTAGTGTCAGACATGAAAAAACAGATACCATACGCTGCATTAAATCCTGCCGGCAGAATGATGTCAACTGTGTGCTAGATCCAGTTCATACCATTTCCCACACTGTCATTTCACTGCCTACATTCAGGGAATTTACAAGGCCTGAAGGTAATCACTTTTCCTTGCTCCACAGAAATAGTCTATAATGAAAACATTAGGGAAACTCCTCTGAGAAAAAAGTCATGGCTTAGAGTCAAACAGCCTCTGCTGTGGGGGAAAAAAGACAGTTTTCGTGTGCCATGTAGGATTGCAGACACAGAAGGCAGAGCGTATTGGCACACAATGGTAACAAAGTACAATTGCTGTGCAGGTTCCAGACCATGCAACAAGGTTCTAAAACTGCAGGTTCTCAGCATTCTGCTTGCCATGCCATAGGAGTGCTCTTCCTGGGCAAGCACTTCCTGAAGAAATGTGACAACTTGAAATGTATTGTTGCTTTGCTGTTGTTCTACTTTTATCAGATTTGTAGTTGCTGAAAAATCTGTTCAGATTAGTAATACCTGTGTTGTTGTTTCCATTGCCATGTTCAGCTTACAGTGTTTTTGTCCACAGAGATTATTTTCCTTCGTGCCATCACACCAGTGTACCCAGCTGCTCAGGCAGACATCATCTTTGACATAACAGAAGGCAATCTACGGGATTCCTTTGATATCATCAAGCGCTACATGGATGGCATGACTGTAGGTGAGAAACTGTCTTTCCTTCAGCTGTTATCACTGAGATGAAGGAAATTATTTGATTCAGCATTAAATATATGAGGTAAAATACAATAAAAACACAATAAGAAATATCAAAATATAATACCATTTCTCTCTGTAAAACATTCATTTTCTTCCTGAAAAACAGGCTCTCTTTCCTTCAGTAAGAACAATATTTTGGAAGCCTTATAGTTCTAGCTTGTTCAGGAAGAGCAGTGGAACACACATGAGCATAGCCCAGCAAAAGATAAAGATTTTATAGCAGGTGCTTCTCTTCTTTTCTCAGTGGGACCTGCTATAATAGTACTGCACCAAGGTTATATATCCAAGTTGTATATTGATCAACAAATATTGAAGGCATGATCCAGCGAAAGTCAGGCATTTTGAAGTCCCATTGATTTCAGTGAAAGAGTCTAAGGGAAGGCTTCAATCTCTATTTAAATAAAAAAAATTAACTTTTGGTGGTTTCCACCATTAATCCTTCCCTTCCAAACTGTCCAGCTTTACTCCGGAAAAATAGGCATGAGAGCAACTTTTTTTGAAAGAAAGAGAAAGTGTGTGTGCATGCGTGTTGTAAGGAGGCGATGAGTCACAAACTATCCAGTGTTACTATTAAGCAAGTTTCTTAATTTGATTTAGCTGAAATGGTAGCATATATCTACATGCTTGGAATGGACATGGACTAGATTTTGATCATGCTAATGGTCTTGTCTGGGGAACATAAGGATAAATTGAAAATCTGCACAAACCAAATGGTTAATTTTGTGAACACTGCAAAGTAGGTCTAGTTGTCTTGGTGGTGTTCAGAATCTCACTGTATTTTTATTTTGAACTTCTGTGTCTGTAATGTAGATTGCTGTTGGAAAACAAACAAACAAAACAGGTGACATTCCAGGGCAGGCTTCATCGTGTAAAATCACACAACCTATCAGAGCTTTGCCTGAAGGTGGTGCTATTGTCTTAACGCTTTGCAGCAACCCAGCTCAGCGGAACAGTCTAGGTTAATTTCATGTGCTGTCAAACAGAACTGTGAAGTTGAATGCCAAGTAGGAGCTTGTCAGCCTTCCCATCTGAAATAGAGAGGTTTAGAAAACAGCTGTGAAATATGTGGGGGATGTTTTTGTGTTAGTACTGAAGATTGCAGAAAAGTGATTGGACTGGTTTGTATTATTTATGCTACGAAAATGCTTGTCATGTGACAGGTAGGGATATTTGGGTAAACAAAGGGAGGACTTACATGTTTTTAGGGGCTCCTGTATGTGATCTGTGTCTGTTTATGATCATTGCATCCCCCTTCAGGAACTTTCTCTGTCATAAATTGCATTTGTTAGATGTGTTGTGTTGTGAGATATTTAAACCGCTAATGGATTTTATTCTGAGTGTTGTTTTTATCTTGTTTTAAATCTTTTAGTGGTATCATATTATATCATGTTGTATTTTAGGATTTTAATTTTTTGAGCTGCTCACATATTTTTGGGTTTTGGGCAATATAGAAACATGACAATGATGACAATAATAAAAATACTAATAATAGCTATTTATTTGTCAGATTGCTATGTCACTCAAAAGTCATACTCTTTTGCTGTGGTTCACAGCAATTATAACCATAGCACGTAACATAAAACACACTATACAAATAAACATTAGAAGTAAAGCCTAAAGTAAATCTCATCAGCATTGCAAAGATTTAAAATGCAGTAAAGGATTTATTTATTTATTTATTTATTAAAAGCTTTTGTATGCCATCCTGTTATACAAGATCTCAGGATGGCTTACAATATTTAAAAAGACAATTAAAACAAGAGAAATGGATTTAAAAGCAAGAGAAATGAAAAGTGGAAAATGCAAGCAAGAGAAATGGAAAGTAGAAAATTCCTGGGAAAATAGGAAGGTTCACCTGATGCTGGAAAGAGCACAGCACAGGCACCTGTTGAGCTACTTGTCATTATCTCCTGGGCCCTAGTGCAGAAGCACATTAGCTTTTCCCATAGGAATGACTGGCATATAATATCAGGCAAAATAACAGAGCATATGAGGCCAGTATCAGATGCAAGAGCTAAGACCAACAGTAAATGGTTCTATCTCTGGTTCTGTTTGGGTCACATTAAAGTCTGACATTTTATTTATTCTTTACTAAAATAAATTTTATCCCAGCTTTCTGCCAAAAATATGGTTGCTAACAGACAGAATGAAGTGGTAATAGAATCAGAGGTACAAATCAAATACAAAAACGCACACAAAAGGCAGAAAGGACTGACCAAAAACATCAATGAAGCCATTAAGAATATAATCTGAAACACCACCACAAACAGACAGCTGATTGCATTCAGGCAGGCTTCCTTGGGAGGACATTTGGCAAGTAAAGTGCTTGAAAGAGGCTCTTTCACCTATGCTGATCTGCCAAACAAATTAGGAAGAAATTAAATATGTGTGTACTTAAAAAGCACTAAATGCCAACAGTAGAGTAGCAGGGCCAGCTAGCTTGAAGAGAAAATGCCTCCCAAGGCAGATAAGTGCATAGGAAACAGTCTTGGAATACAAATCTCTTAAGCTAATAGCAAAACACCATTCACTAGGAGGGCTGGTTGATCCCTTTGGGAGTGCCTTCCTTAATGTTGTCCCATTTTGGAAAATGCTTACTCTGTGCTGGCTGGAAAACGGGAAACAAAACAGAGCTTTGTTGGCAGAGATCGTTGATAGGTAAGCAGACATTTCATATCTAGATTGCTTTCTGTTAAGTGTTGGTTTTCTGGTCAGGTTTCTGTTCTTCCTTACCCAGTAATTCTCATTCCAGCTTGGGTTGTGAGGTTAGAGCCTTGGAGCTAGAGGCAGAGCCCAGTGGCATATGGCCTTGTGGCATATGGCAAGGAGCAGCGCCTCAGCATCAGAGGACAAAATCTGGGAGCAAGGCCTGGGGGACATGGAGGGGCACTATCAGCAAATAGGAATTTAGTCCATATGAGGCATTTTGTATGGGTCTAAGACTCGTGGGTGAAGTTTCTTCCTCCCCCTCCTCTTTCACAGGTTACATGTTCTGGTACTGTTAACAGTTTCTGTTAGCTAGGGCCTAGTAAATTTTGGTGGTAACCCTAACCCTATACCATGAAAGCTAGGGAATAAAACCAGGTTGTCAAAACATGCTTGATTTCATTTTAACCTAGGCTGGTGCAGGTCACTATAATACTGTCTCAGCCTGGCTAGAAAAGAGCTGGACAGTGGGAAGGAGTGCTTTTTTCTTCATCTGATCCTTAAACCTGGTTTCAGCCAAGCCAGACCTGAGCTTTAGGAGCAGATTTGCCAAATATGAATACTGGGACAGTCTCCCTATTTTGTAGTTCAGTCTGCAAGGTGTCACTTGTAGCCTTCAATCTCAACTGAACTACAGGAAGGGTAAACAGAAATAAAGCCTCTGCTTGTTCTCTTTAAGCCTTTTTACAGACTTTCTGCTACATACCTTTTTGTTTTGTTTTTTTCTTTTAACCAGCTGTCAGTGAAGAATTCATTTTCAGCCTGTAGAAAAAGGCCCTATTTAAAACCTGGGGTATTATAAAGCACTATAAAGCTTTTTGCTTCACTCTGTGTCAGAGTTCTGAATTCTATGAAAAGGTTTCAAGGTGGCTAAATGGAGGGGATGCAGTGGATGTGGTTTACCTGGATTTCAGCAAGGCCTTTGACAAAGTGCCCCATGATATCCTGGTGGAGAAATTGAGGAATTTTGAGATAGACCAATCCACTGTCAGATGGATTAGGGCATGGTTGACTGACCGAAAGCAGGGGGTAACCATTAGTGGGGAATCATTAGGATGGAGACCAGTGACAAGTGGAGTCCCCCAGGGCTCTGTCCTGGGGCCGATCCTGTTTAATCTTTTCATCAACGACATGGAAGAATGGGTGAACAGTCTGCTGATCAAATTCACAGACAATACTAAAACTAGGGCAGTGGTCACAACTGAGGAGCAGGTACTCCAGATCCAAAAGGATCTGGACAGACTGTGGAAATGGGTAGGAGACAACAGGATGGCATTCAATGTGGATAAATGCAAGGTCTTGCACTTGGGGCATAGGAACGGGTTTTATAAGTACAGGTTAGGGGATAAGTGGCTGGAGAGCAGCACTTGTGAAAGGGACCTCCGGGTGCTGGTTGACTGCAGGCTAAACATGAGTCAGCAGTGTGATTCGGTGGTCAAGAGGGCGAACGCCACCCTTGGTTGCATAGCCAGAACTGTGGCTTCTAGATCGAGAGAGGTATTACTACCACTCTACAACTCTGGTGCGCCCTCCACTGGAGTATTGTGCTCAGTTTTGGGCCCCTCATTACAGAAAGGATATAGCCAGGTTAGAGTCAGTGCAGCATAGGGTCACAAGGTTGGTGGCTGGTTTGCAGGGGATCCTGTATGAGGCGAGACTGAGGGAACTGGGTCTCTTTAGCCTGAAGAAGAGGAGACTCAGAGGGGATGTTGGTGACATACAGGTATGTGAGGGGATGTCACACAGAGGTGGGTAGAGACCTGTTCTCTCCTGCAGAGGAAGGCAGGATGTGCTCCAACGGAGCAAAGCTCAGGGAACCAAGGTTCCATTTAGATGTCAGGAACACAAACAGTTAGGACCCCGAGGGTATGAAATGGGCTTCCACAGGAAGTGGTTGAGGCCCCATTGGTGAGGGTGTTCAAGGATAGGCTAGACATGCACATGGTGGGCATGTTGTGAGTGGAGCTGGCTGGAGCTGGGGGTCAGAATGGATGCCCTGGGAGGCCCCTTCTGACTTGCTCTGTTTCTATGTTTTGTCTGAGTTGGGGCATGTTTGGGGAAAAAAACCCCTCTGTTCTGGAAGCTCTTGCTTCATACAACTACTGCCTTCCGGCCATCCTAAAGAGGTGCTGAATTATAGTCCCCTCATATGCTGAAACTGCTGCTGCCCAGAGAGAGTGTCTCAACTTCCAAAAGGGCTGTTGTAATTAAATTGTGGAGTAGGAATCCAAAATGGTA